GATAAATTGATTGAATTCATAGTCGTTAAATTTTTATAAATAGTTATGAATAGTTGACAAATAATTAGTTGATTTGTTACATGTTACTCCCTTGTTGATTGTTACCAGGTTTTAAATTGTCGTAGCGACAGCGGTAGCGATCATCTCGGTAGAGATCATTGCGGCCGTTGAGACGTGTATAGCGGTCGCAGCGGCGTGAAATATTTTCAAGTGCGTAAAACATATAATTAATGGGTGTTAAAGTTAAAAGAAACATTATGAATATTTGTTTGAACACTTATATGTGAACAACTAATCAACCAATATGCCCACTTATATGTGAACAACTAATCAACCAATTTGATTGAACAGATAAGCCCTTCAACTATGTACGGAAAGTCAATTATGTCCACCTACTTTAAAACTCTCAGTTTAACCTTGGAACTCTAAAAAGACGCTCAATTACGCCCTTTTACTCGGTAACCACCCGGTTTCCTGGTTAACATCTCACGTGGCACCACATGGCAGGCCACATGGCATTCCCTTTTTCTTTTTTACTTTAGTTTTCTTTTCTTTTTCTCTTTCCTCTTCCCTCTCTCTCTTTCTTCCTCTTTTCTTTCTCCCTGGTTGTACACAATTACGCCTCAAGCCTGCAACTATGGGTGGGATCGATCCGGTCTGGGTCGGGTTTTTGCTAAACCCGGAAATTACCCGGAAGGTCTCGGGTTATGAAAATTAGGGACCGGAACAAAGCCCACTATATTCGATCTGAGTCGGGTTTTTGGTAGCCTGGGTTCGGGTTGGGTCGGTTAAAGCCCGAACTTGAAATATATCATTGTTCTTTTATATTTTAACACCTATTTTCAAACAAAATTAATCAAAAATACAAATCACAAATAATAACACCAATATTAGTCTCCAAAATTACCAACAATTCAAATCCAAAGAAGATAATTATCTTAATATTTTATTTAAGATGCATGTAAATAAATAATATAGGTTTCTTAAAAATATTACGAAATAAAATTTATAGATAAAATGTGACTAGAGTTGCTATAAATATATTTTCATGATCATTACACTAAATAAATTGAACATATTTGTAGTCACTAAGAGTTGCTACATCATTTTTTATGCACCGTGATTATAATCATATATTAGGAAATATTTATAAAGTTATATTCATATATTATATTAATTTAATTTTAGAGCTAATTGTTTCACGTTTTTATCGGTCCGGGTCGGGTTTACGGGTTATACATTTTAAGGCCGTTAATGAGCCCGGAATTTCGGGTTCGGTCCGGTTTTTTTTTTTTAATTCGGGCCGATTAAAAAGAAAAAACCCGGATCGGGATCATAATTCAGGTCGGTCCAGGGTCGGTTTCCGGGTTTTGGTTCAGTTTTTCCCACCCTTACCTGCAACTCTATTTCCCCTCTTCTCTTTAGGGCTCCAACCGCCTGCATGTGGCCCCTTTTCTTTCTCTTAGTGGTCTCTTCTCTCAAAATTTGTATGAAATTAAACGAGGGTAAATGGAAAACGGCGACGTTGATGGTTACACCCCGGCGGATTTTGGCGCCTCTTCTTCTCTGTTCGTTTAGAGGGGCGACAATGGAGAACGGCATCTACACTGCTCAAACGGTATCCCTCTTTTCCTCTGTTCGTTTCTTCTTTACCCAGGTGGATTCCGGCTGCGATGAGATTTGCGGCGACATTGAGGACGGGTCCGATGGGCAATAGGCTCCAATAGTGAAGAAGGCGACCATCACCTTACTCTCTGCTCGATTCCCGACGAAGTTGCTCCTTGTTTATTGCCTGATCGGGGTGAAGTTGCTATGAAGAATGGGAGCAGTCAGCCTACATGAAAGACGAAATGAAGTGGGCATATAATTGTTGAGGAAGAAAGAAAAGAAATAGAAAAAGAAAAGAGAAAAAGTAAAGGGGAAAAAAGGAAATGCCATGTGTGCCGCCATGTGGCCCGCCAAGTGAGATGTTAACCGGGAAACTGGATGGTTACCGAGTAAAACGGCGTAATTGAGCGTGTTTTTTAGAGTTCAGGGGTTAAACTGAGTGTTTTTAAAGTACGTGGACTTAATTGACTTTCTGTATATAGTAGGAAGGCTTATCTGACAGTTTTCTCATAAGAATATGACAATTAAAAGAGAATGATAATTAGAACGATTGGTAAACTAAATAAATATTACACACACAATCAAAAATGTCTTCAAACTAAACAAGTCTTAACACATCTTTAAATTAAATAGATTCTTACATTAAATGTCACATTACAAACACAACTCAACATGTATCGACATGCATGATATAAAAAGTTCCAATATTACACTGTCACCACCTTCAAATACATCTCCAGTCCCAAATTGTTTTGTTAAGTCAACATTTTTTTCCTCAACCGATATTAAAGTTAAATCATCCTTATTAATAATTAATTCGGTTTTAATAATTAAAACTTACATATTTATTAAAATTTGGTCTCATAATGTACATTTAATTTAGAGTTTCACTCAATGTACCACCATTAATGTATTTCACACCATGCACACAATATTTACACATTTACACATCTCTGAGAATGAATGAGAAGTTGCTGGCCTTTTGTGGAAAGAATCGTAAAATAAGAAAGAAATAAAGAATGAATGAAAGAAACAAACAAAGAAAGAGAATTATGCAGCAACGAACGCAGGTGATGAACGGGGAAGAAGAAGAAGCATGGACGAGAAGAAAGAGAGAAAGAGAGAAAGAGAAAGAGAGAAAGAGAAAGAGAAAGAGAAAGAGAAAAACAAAATGAAAAAGAATAAAAAAATTCAATTGGACAGCCACAAGTACATTTTAACCGGTAACCTGACCCCAACGGGTTAAATGGCTAATTTTTAACACTTTGTGGACTTAATTGATTCATCAATAAGTACAATGACTCAATTGACTTTTTAGCAATAGTATGAGGACTTATTTGACATATTTGACAGTTTCCCCTTGTTTAATGTTTTAGCCAACTCGTTATAAGGCTACATGCATTGAAAGTGAAATTTAATACAGGATGTCTCAATTCATGACATGACACACTTTACGATTTACATTCACTAACGAGGGGAGCATTGAGTTTCTCTAAGACATAAATGGCTGATGCAATAATTGTTAGGGAAAAATTTTAAAAATAGGACCTAATCATACTAACTTTCCTAAATTAGGATTACATCTTACCGTAAGACTTAACTGCACTTGCGTTGACCATAGTGCCCTTACTTTTAATTGAGACTGCGTTGCAACATGTATTCTCCGTCGAAGCCAGTGAGCACATCCGCCTCAAACATCTTCCCCTTGTCGAAGCCGTTGCCTTTCAAAGTTTCAGGGTCTTCACCACACTGCAGGGCGGCAATTGGTGCAAGGACATGGTCCCGCAATTCACTCCAGCTCCTCTACTTCAATGTCGCTTCTGGCGTTATGACCAAAATCAACAATTCTTCTGTGAGACCCATTTAATTTGGAACAATAATCAATTCCAAAAGCCTCTTTTCGATCTCACTCTTACTTGGATGGAATCTCGATTAACAAAGCTGCTGGAATGTATTTTTATTTTCTCGTAGACCGTACCTGTATTTGGATACAAAACAAAGGGTGTGGAAAACTAAACTATTGTCTTTTAATGACATATAATTTATAAATTAGTTGTTGCGAATATATCAATAAACTTCATGTGTTTCACATAAGGGAGCTAGTTTTTCATACTTTGAATATCTTGGTCAAAAGAGATATTTGTTGAGAAATAATGTATTGAAATCAGACATTAATTATACGGTACAAGTCAATAACTAGACAATAAGTAGACAATAAACATATATAGTCTTAATTGATCCTTACAAATTGAATGTAAATCTATAACATACAATACAATGATAACACATATAAACACTAATAAATTGCATGACAGTAAAAGTTATTCCTTATATCTTTTTCTTTAAATATCCATAAAGCAAAATGACAAAAAGAAAAATAAACTAGTACCACAGGGGTGGGGAAAAATACCGAAATTTCGGTATACCGGACTTACCATATCGAAAAATACCGAATTTACCGAAGTGTTTGGTATACCGACACTTTTGGTACGGTATGATACCGTACCGAATTACTTCGGTATGGTATCGGTATATATTTTGGAAATAAACGGTATACCGTTATACCGTCATACCGTAATTCCAAGCCAATAATTTCTGTAAAATTATAAAAATAACTAGAAACACAACATTATTACTTCAAGGATAATGACTTTATATCCATGTTTCTTGAATTATTTATACTTTTTGTCGGAGATCGATGTTATTTCAAATATATTTATGTAGTTTAAATTATTATTTTAGCAGAATGTGTTGTTATCTTCATATATCATGTGTTGAAGTATCCGTACATATTTATAATATTTTTTTGTTCAAAGTTGAATAGAACACAAATAGGTTATCATTGGCATTTTATAATTAATTTCATTAATAATTTTAGTATATCACTATTAACACTGATTTTATATATTTCATTTGATATATAATAATTTGATATTAAATCATGATAATTTACCGATACCGTAGCTTACCGTACCGAAATTTTGGTATACCGAAACAAGGTATACCGAAATTTAGGTATGGTAACGGTATGTATTTTTGCATACCGAAAGTTTATGGTATGATAAAGGTATGAGATAAAATCTTCGGTATACCGTACCGAACCACCCCTAGTACCACGTAGTAAACATTTGTGATGTAGAAAAGTTCGTATAGGTTACAGATCCATATTAAACTAGTAATAATGGTGTACAATTATAACATGTGAGTTACCAATTGTTACGAATCCATATTAAGTCGAAAAATGTAGTGACACATGACGAAACATAGTTAGAGTACTACTAGTAAGAAGAAGTGGGATGCCAAGTGTGAATTGATATAGACAGTGTATATAAACAAGCGAGATAGTCACTAAACACACAGTAAGCAGACATTAATGTTGAACATGTCTGCTACTTAAGTATGACAACCAAGAGTACATCAATTGAAATGTCAAAAACTATGACAATTAACATAAGTTCCAAAGCCAACAATGTGGCAATTAAAAATAGCGAGAGAGAAAAGTTTAAGTCATTTAAATGTTATTCTGGGAAATACAAATTTGAAATCATAGAATATTATAAAAGTAGAAACTATAGGCCGGGATAGGATTCTTGCAATTACAAGGGACTCCCCACGACGATACCAAAGTGTCAACAATTTTAAAACCTAAGAGGTTTCTAGTAAAACATCCCACAAGGTAGTATCTCTAAGTTTGAACCAGCAACATTATATCATCTTCATCCGAGAGTAAAAAGTCATCCCCTGAGGGTGTGAAATACACTAGTTGCATCCCATGAGTAGTATCCATGTAGTTCTGAAACAGATGAAGTTGTTTGGTGGGGGGGTGCACTGGTTTGTGGTTAATAATGACTTTTGTCGAACACTTTATACGCATCAGTTGAACCCTTCATTTTAGCAGTTCTTGGACCACAACCGGTTGTATCTGGTTCATCGAAAAGATGATCAAAGAACTATATAAAGTAGAAAAAATAAAAATAGACATTGGAAACTGAAAATAGATAAGAGAAATGCTTTGAACTTCAATTTCAAGGTCAGAATGAGAATTCAAACTTAAAGATGACAATAGTGATACAAAATATATAAATGAAATTTGTTTATACATGAAAGCATCAAACAACAACAATTTTTTAGAAAAAATGTAACAAAACTTACATATCAGACAAGTGCCTATATTAAATAGCCCATAAACAATTACAATGAGACATTAAAATCCAAAAAAAGGAAGTATTTGAAAATTTGAACATAACACGAGACTTCTAAAAGAAAAATATGTACCTTCTAGTCTGGAACATATAACTTCCAGAAAGCATCTCTGCACGAACAGTTCAGAGGCAACCATCATGAACACAAACAATACGCAATACTTTGGGGTTTGACGTCTTTGTTTTATATTGGAAATGATGTGTGATTGCAAACATATTTAAATCATAATCTAAAGAGTTTTATTTATATATATATAGCACGTTTGACTATACGAGTATGATGGAAGTGAGAAAGAGCTTCAAAATCGGGAAAAACACACAAAGAATCAAAATGGGAGGCTGGATCAGAACTGAGAGCTTGACTTGAAGAACACAATTAAAGCTGCAACAATATTGCTATGAATGATTACATTATGTTTTGAATCTTTATTGGAATAGGAATGTATGTCTTCTAAGTTCATTGAATCAAGACATATAGGACTTAATGATTAAAACCAGTTGAACTAATCAAGTCAATTTGTTGACACACAGGTAAATCTGTTGTTGCAACATTGAGATCAATTTGAATAAATATGGCAAACACATCTTTTTGTTGACCAGTCATCAGTGGAGAGTTGACAGAGGAATTGAGATCAATTGCAGAATATTCAAGAGGAAATGGTTATTGATGCAAGTAGAGACCATAAACAACTCAACATACAAAGGAACATAACATAATCAGGGTGAACTCTTTTCAAAGCCAGGTAAAATTCCACAAACAGCACGAGCCAATCAATCACACAAACAAGATGATTAATGAACAAATATGAAGTAAAAAGAAACAGAAGCATGCGTTAGAAAGAAGTAACAGAGGAGAGAAACACTGAATTACAATTTGAAGGTCAGAATGCAAATTAGAACTTGAAGATGACAAAGTTGATACGAAATATAGTATAAATGGATTTCATTTATACATCAACTGTAACAACTTTATAAAAAATCAGAATCAAACTTACCAAAAGTTGAAGAAAATTTTTGCAACGCATGAAGGTCGGTGAACTACTAAATGATGCTTCAGAACAATCAATGGAGCATACGAGGTCAATTGAAACTGAAGAAGTGAGATCGGATGATTACAAAGAAGAAGAGCGTGAGATTGGATGATTACAGAGATGAAGAGAAGAGGAAGAAAAAAGGTCGTTGCTGGAGAGATCTCGCTGCAGAAGTTTTTCATCTTTAATACACAATATAAAGTGAAGGGTAAAAACGGAAATTAAAAACAAGTTTTCCTAAAAAAAGATGTAAATAAATCTTACGGATGGAAAAAAACTAAGTAAGTCCTTTTTTATAAACTTTGTATGATTTGGTCTCACCAGCGGCAATTTTCTTATAATTGTTATCGACCTCAAATAAGATTTTTTTTTGTTACGTGCATTAAGACTTTCAACGTAGAATAATCAATCTATTATTCTCTCTTAAAAAAAATGCTCCCTAGGGCTTAGCCGCTAGGGCTTCCGATCTCCGCTCTCGGTAATATCTGAGGTGCGGCTCCTTTGGGTCGGTGTCGGCTCGAGGGTGGACGAAGGCTCTCGCGGGGCGTCTGAAGGACTTTGCATGAAGGATGAAGGTTTTGCAGGCGGTTTCGACGACGGCTGGAAGTGGAGGGCTCATGACAGCAGTTGGATTGCAACATCAGTTTTTTTATTGTTTAATGGAGGACGTAGTTCACCAATACAAACAAATGGCTATTGGGGATGACAAGGAAGAGTTGTTTTTTGACAAAGAAGAAGAAGGGGAGGAATCGAGTAAGGGTGAGGCTGAATTCCCAGTGATTATCATCATTATGACTGATCGCAAGATTAAATTTCAGTATTTCAAAGAATTGATGGCTTCGTTATGGACTCCTGTGAAAGGCGTTTTAATCCAAGAAAATCAGTGACAAAAGGTATATCTTTACTTTCTATCATAAATTAGATATGAGGGGTGTTCTTATTGAAGGGTTGTGGCTGTTTGAACGAAATATGTTGTTGCTAAAAGAGATCCAGGCAGAAGATACTTCGTTACAAATTAGTCTGCATGAGGCTGATTTTTGGGTGCAAGTGCATAATGCTGCTTATGGGTTTATGAATCTAGAGTCTGCTAGGCGTTTTGGTAATTATATTGGGAAATTCATTAGTTTTGATGATAGGAAAGCTGATGAAAAGTTTAACTCTTTCTTGAGGATTAGAGTTCGTATGGATGTTAGGAGACCTTTGAACAAAAGGTACTACTTTGAAAAAAGTGGGGTTTAGCCAATGGGTGGATTTTAAATATGAAAAAACTCCCAAATTTTTGTTTTGTTTGTGGCATCATTCGGCATTCTGATAAGTTTTGTCCGGTTGTTTATGTTAGAGATATTTTCATTATATTGTGATCAATGTTTCTTAGCTATTTATATTTAGCATCTTAATTAAATAGACTAGCTAGAATAATGAATAGGCCTTTTAAGGCAATGTGTAATAAAAGGTTTTATACCTTTTTAGGTATGGGCCTCCTATAAAAAGGAGCCCAAATGATTGTAAAACCTACCTTTCCCGTCAGGCTATATATATGCCTTAAGGGAAAGGCTAGGTTAAGCTTTTCGATATTCCTAGTGCCGCAGTGCCTATTCTCGTGATAGAAGTTTTACGCTTAAGTTTCATATCATTCTGTAAACTTCTTCATCACATCAATGGAAAGCTTCATTCCCAGATCTATCTTCCATACATACATTTTATAGACTAGAAAACAGGGACCTAACATCTGGTATCAGAGCCGGAGCTGATCGATCGATTGAAGGCTGAAAATCACTCCTGCGCGATTCTTCATCCGCGAAGATTTTGCACTTGAGCGATTTCTGGTTCTATTTTTGTTGTTGTTTTTGCAGGAAATGGCTTGAAGGAAAGGGTTTCTACTGTTGCTAGGATCATTCCTGGAGAAAATCTCATTCTGAAACTCGGCGTACAGGTTAAGCCAGATTTGAGCGATCCTGCATTTTCGCGCAACTCCCTGAAAAAGAAGAACAGGTTCGCGCAATCAGTCTCCTGCGCGATCTCAAGTTTAGCGCAACACCTTCCGCGCGATTCAGGACTTGCGCCATTCTCTTTGCAGATAGAGCGATCATCCTGCGCGATTTCCACTTCGCGCAAGTACACTTGCGCGATCTTTGACTTGTGCGTTTTGTACTCGCCCGATCTGAGAAGTTGCGTTTTTTGTACTTGAGCGATTTTAAGTGTTGAGCGATCCTTTTAGAAGTTGAGAGATTGTTTGCTAAGTTGAGCGATCTTTTATTGAGAGTTGAGCGATCTTTTTAAGACTTGAGCGATCTTTATTAAAGAGTTGAGCGATCCTTTGTTGAAAGTTGAGCGATCCTCCAAAAGTTGAGCAATCTTTCACAAGTTGAGCGATCCTTCTACAACTTGAGCAATCTTTCAATACCTTGCGCAATTTTGACCAGTACTGCACAATAACCTTCTACCTGAATTACCAAACCAACTGAACAGAATCAAATCAATCAACTGATCAGCCCGATCAACATTTAAAATGGATGCTTTGTCGATTGGAAACGACACTAGACCCCCAATTCTACGAAGAGGAGAGTACAATGTATGGAAGAACCGATTCTTGAACTTTCTGGAGAGCAAGGACCAATCCTCAGGTCTTCTTGACTCTATCACAAACGGACCTGCTCAATTGATGATAGCAGTTGAAAGAGATAATGGAAACAACCCACCGGTGGAGATTGAGTGGAGACCCAAGACGGTTGATGAATATGATGATGAGGACAGAGCAAGACTTCGTGCAGATCTCATTGCCAAGACCTATCTGTTGCAGGCCATCCCGAACGACATCTACATGCAGATTGACAGTATGTCAACTGCAAAAGAGATGTGGGATGAGATCTTTAAGATCATGCAAGGAACAGAGATAGGAGTGAAAGCTAAGAAAGCCAGCACTTTTACAGCATACGACTCGTTCAAAGCCAAGCTTGGAGAATCACTCGAAGACACCTACCTGAGATTTCTGCAATTGATAAATGAGATGAGAAAGATTGGCGTGCATAAGTCCAATATGGAACTGAACGTGAGATTTCTATCTTCTCTTGGAGCTGACTGGAAGAAGCTGAGTTCACAGATAAGGCACACGAAAGACCTTGATGAAATGGACATCCATGCTGTGTACAATACACTTGACCAGTATGCAGAAGATTTTTCTGACTTCGTGGTCGCTACTGTGACAGCTGACAAGGGGAAGGGAGCTGTGGACAAGCTAGCTGACACCCTTGCCCTAATGCTTGACAAGCCATCAAAGTCTGGTTCCAAGAAAGATAAGATGATAGCTGATGAAAGTGAAAGTGCTGATAGTGACATCGGATTTTGGGATGATTCTGATGATGATGAGCTGCGTGATTTTCAGAAGCAGATAGCCCTTCTTACCTCAAGGTTCAACAACCAAATGCAGAAGAAGAAGAACCCCTCTAACAACAAGCTCCGCAAGTCCTCTACCAGCAACAACAAAAGAAAAGAGCGATCTTTTGAATCGTCTGAGAATGGTATTGCTGAGGATGCTCCAAAGTGCTTCAATTGTGGGAAGACTGGACATCTGATGAAGGATTGCAGGATGCCAAAGAGGAAGAAGGATGCTGAATATTATAAGCAGAAGATGTATCTGAACAAAAAGAAGATGTTGCTGGCAATGGAAGAAAGTAGTGAGAAGAGTGCCCTTATGGCAGAGAAAGATCACTGGATGGACGATTCTGATGATGAAGAGAATATGGCCTTGATGGCAGTTGTTGAAGAAGAAGAGAAAGAGAAGGATGCTGAAAAGGAAGGAAAGATGAAGTCAACCCCTGCTGCTGAGGAAAAGAAGGAGATAGACAAAGCTGAGGAGAAGAAGAACCTGCCTACTGCAACCAATGCTGATGTAATGACTGCCCTGTCTGCTGAGAACAGGAATGCTGACAATGAAGTAAGTACCTCTAATTCATCTGTCCATACTTGCTCTAGAACTGATATGCATGATAAATTTAAGGAGCTAGAGGTGAATTACAAAAGGTTGTATGAGGTATATAATCAACTGCGTGAAAAACAGACATGCTCAAACATTAAGATAA